TTAGACAGCTGGGAACGTTGTTATTTGTTTTTAGTTGACCTAACTGATTACCTAGTTTGGGCTACTAAATTGACTTTTTGATCAATTACATTTTAAGTATCTCACTGTTTGATGAAAATGGATTGTATTTCTTTCAGTCAGTATCTGTTGAGTATGTGCAATCTATACTGAACTCTAACTCATAATTGTTTAGTACTCAAGACAACAATTTCAGCTGTTTTAATACAGCAAGGCAGAATCAACGTATTTTCTAAACTAATTAAATTCCATTGACATAATGGGATATCCAGCAGTACATATAAAAGTGCAGTATACAAACTTTTGGTCTCTAAAATTTTTACTGCATGTGTAACCATTCAATTTGGTTTTCTAAAACTGTCTAATAAAAAAAATCTTGTATCAACAATAGATAATTTAAGAAGTATAAATTCATAATAATTCATTTAATTCTATTTAAACTTATTCAGATTTCCAGTTAGGTGCTGGTTAAAATATAGCTACACTGAAGAATTATGAAGTGGGTCTGTGTGGTGCTGATGAGAAAAATACACCATCATGTCTGGATGTGTTCAGCGTTGATTCCAAAGAAAGCAAAATCAGTTCAACATGGTTTTATCTATAACTGTAGACTGATGTCAGATCACAAGCCTCGGAACATTATAGACTCTTACAAGCTGCTTAAACTTCAGGAAGGGTGTTCATTGGATGATGTTAAAAATTCGTTTTTAGAGCTTGCTAAACAATACCATCCAGATAGTGGATCAGTTAAAGCAGATTCTACAATTTTTGTTCAAATTGAAGAAGCATACAGAGTTGTTGTTAATGATATGGCCAAGAAAATAAAATCAAGAGATAAGGAAGAGGATGATGATGATGAAGACAAATTGAAATCTAAAGCTCTACAACATAGACAGTATTTAAATTTTGAAGGTATTGGTTTTGGTACTCCAAGTCAAAGAGAAAGGCAGTATATGCAGTTCAGAGTTGATAGAGCTTCTGAAGAACTAATGGAATATCGACAGCGACAAATGGAGAGAGAACTAGCTATGGGAGATGTTATGCTAGCTAAAGATGTAAAGCAAAGTAAAAAAGCAAAAATAACCCAAGCAATTGAACGCTTGGTTGAAGACCTCATTCAAGAATCTATGGCAAAAGGAGACTTTGATAATCTAAGTGGTAAAGGAAAGCCATTACAAAAATTTTCAGACTGTCCACACATTGATCCTATGACACACAATCTGAATAGGATCCTGATAGATAATGGATACCAACCAGAATGGATACTTATACAGAAAGAAATACGGGAAACAATTGAAAAGTTAAGGAAGACTATAATAGCTTCTAGGAATAAGTTAGGTGATCCAATTACCATCCAAAAAGAGAAGCAATGGAAGGAAGTTTGTGAAGAATTTAGGGAAAACATTAAGATATTAAACAAAAGAATTAATGATTTCAATTTAGTTGTTCCTATTCTTAGCAGACAGATGGTGCATTTTAATGCAGACAAAGAGATTGCACGTGTAGAAGACATCTTTGAAGCCCAGATGAAAAAGTCCGAGACAGAAGCAAAGAAAACAGAAGCTGAAATGGAACATGGTAGACATGACATAAAAACCATTTTTTTAAAATGGATAGCTCTTATTTTGAAGTAAGATCAAGAATTTAGTTATTTAATTTCATAGTCAATGAACTTTAAATAAGATTGCCCTATTAACTATTGGAACAATCCCTTATTCAAACTGAAGAAGTGAATTGAATTGCAAAACTACAAATAAATGTTTATTAACAATCTTATTTTTGTTGATAGTCTTTTGTCAACAATTTAGATCAGGTACCTCAAATGAACTAACTTACATAATGTGTTCAAAATCTGGAACCTATGACTCCTATAGAATTGAAATATGGCAAATTTTATAAAGGATTTTATGACAAAATACAAAAAGTCAAGAAACTTTTCCTGTGGTCACCTTCTGATGTTTGACTATGTTATGCAGTTCAAAATGGGATATTTTCAAGGCAGATGCATCTCTCAATACCTCCTTGTTGTTTAAGAACTTTTCCATTGTTACCATTGTTGAAGACATTGAGGAATCTGCTAAGGAAATATCTTGGAAACAATGATTGAAAGGTCACTGGTTGTCTAGTGTACTACCATGTTTCCCTGAAAATAAGACCCGGTCTTATTTATTTATTTATTTGCCTCCGAAAGAGGCACCAGGTCTTATTTTCAGGTGGAGGGGAGTCTTTTCCATTCATTGCGGTGGCACTGACAGCCCTGCCCAGCCGGCCCACTTCTGCGGCCGAAGGAGCAGCTTCATTTGCAGCTGAGAATGGAGCTGGCTGCAGAAGAAGTGGGCTGGCGAGGCAAGTGTCGATACATGGGAGGCCTGGCTGCAATGGTAAGCTCCACTCCCACCCTAGCTTGATTTTTAGGTGTGCACCTGCAACAATTTTTAAACCAAGGTACCTCAAATGGGCTAACATAAAGAATGTGTAACATTATAACATAAAAAATGTCATAAAACATTTCTTGTGCCATACAATATGGGCTACTTTCAAGACAGAGATCTCTGAATATCATCAAGAACTTTTCCACTACATCATAAGCTGTACCATTGCTGAAGGTATTGGGAAATCTAGTAAGGAAATATCTCTGAAATGATTACACAGTTGGTCATTGGCTATCTAGTAATGGTACTGAATTTAGCAGATATACAAATGGGAATCTGCCAGCAGATCCAGAAAACAAAGATCGTACGTACTTAGCCACTGCTTCGCTTAATGACTGAGTTGCTGCTCACAGTTATTGTTATTAAATAAGGACTACCTGTAGGCAGTTTTTACAATGAAGTGAAGAAGTGGAATTCCTCAAGGATCTTTGTTGGGACCAGTACTTTTTAACTATCTCTAGTCAAGAGCTCTAGTCAACTCATAAATGATCTTGACTAGAGATAAGCAATGAGCTGTCTAAGTTTGCCAATTATGTTAGATTAAGGATAGTAAAACACCAAAGAGATTATGAAGAGCTCTGGTAAGCTTTCTCTGAACTGTGGGAATCCTCAACCAAATATGCAAATGGAATACAGTTCACATAAGTGTAATAAATTGTACATAAGAAACAGTTTGATGTAGTGGTTAAGTACAGGGTTAGAAACTACGAGATTGTGAATTCGAATGCTGCATGAATTCTTAGACATAAAACCAATTGGGTAACTTTGGGCCTGTCTCTCTTTGCCCTAGGAAAAAGACAACAGCAAGCTTCTGCAAAACTACAAACCCAGTTTTCTCTACCGGTTAAGGGATCAGGCTAGAAACTAGGAGATGGTGAGATCTAGTCCCGCTGTAAGCATAAAAGCCAGTTGGGTGACTTGGGCCAAACACTCAGTCTCAGCCCAATCCACCTCATAGTGTGGTTGTGGTGGGGAAAATAGGAGAAGGAAAATGTATTAGCTATATTTGCCACCTTCAGTTATTTATAACGGTATATATAAACTTTAAAACTGCAGGACTTTATATTCTATCATCACACTTAAAAAAGGATATAGTTAACAGCTGGAAAGAAGAACAGAAGAGGGCAGATAAAATGATCACCGGCTGAAAACTTATGAGAAAAAGGTATTTGAAAGCTCTATCTTGGAAATTATATAAAACCGTGCAAGGAGTAAATGAAGATGCTATCTTCCCTCTCCCAAACACTAAGACTGAGAACCAGTGAAGCTGACTGGAAACAGATTTAAAACAAAATTTTAAAAATCATACAAGTTATGAGCCTGTTGTAGTTATCAGCACCTGTGGTGATGCCCATTATTTATAACATTTATATGTCACCCCTTATATTATCCAGAGTGATTTTGGACCACTTACAAGTGCGTTAAAAACAATGTTTTATATTATAAAGACATAATATAAAAATATCTTGGACATTGGATAAATTAATGGAGGACAGGGCTAACAAAGTTATTGCTCCTGAAGATTCAATGTTGCCTCCCAAGTGGGGCAACTTATCTCCCCGGTAGAAAGGGAATAGTGATGGGGGGGGGGGAGAGAATATTTATTTATTTATTTATTTATTTAATATAATTCTTCCTTCTGCTTTCAAGAACCTCAAAACCCATTTAGGGTTGCCAGGTGTCCACTATTTGAGTGGACAGTCCGCTTTTTTTCACATTATGTTCACTATATTTTTTCACAAAATAGTGGACATTTTTTTTATTCAAAAGCTTTATGATGAAATGCTACGTAATCTAAAGCTGTACAGTCTACTTTTTTTTTTTACTATTTAACCCCCCCCCCCCGCTTGTCCGCTATTTTTTGGAAGCAGACCTGGCAACCCTGATCTAGATTTACACTGAGAAAGAAACTGAATTAACGCTGGCTTTGTACGAATATCGTAGAAGTAGCGAGCAAGATGGAAATGGGCAATAAGTTTAGAAGGGTGTTTGCTAGCTAACTTCGTGTTTTTGCAGCTGCGGGCTTACACGCGTTTAACTGGAGAGAATCCCTTTTAAGATCATTGGGGCTCATCTCCAAATAAAAACGGGTAAGATCGAAACGAGCGCTACGACTTCCCACAAGTTTTCACTCTTGGACCCTTCTCCCACTTGGCCTATTTCAGGGGTAGGCAACCTTGGCTCTTTTATGACTCGTGGACTTCAACTCCCAGAGTTCCTGAGCCAGCGTAGCTGGCTCAGGAATTCTGGGAGTTGAAGTCCACGAGTCATAAAAGAGCCAAGGTTGCCTACCCCTGGGCCCCTATTTCCTCTGCGCCCTGGCCGCGCGGGCGGCGAATCGGTAACTCTCGCTGCTCTTCACTGTGTTACCATTTGACGAGGTCCGCCAATCTCCGCTCTATGATCACTTTTATTCCCTGGGGGGCGGGAGTGTGTGCGTGTGGGGGGGGGGGGGAAATCAAGCCTCTGCCGCTGTCCAATCCTCGCGCTTCCTAGCAAAGTAATCCGCCCTCCATTTGTGACGAGATGCGCTGGCTGTCGATTGGTTAAGGGCCCTGTCCTTCTCCCATGCCTCTTGCTCTGGTAGAGCCGGGCCAGCGGGGTCGCGGATGGAGAGAAGCCTTCTGCTAGGTGAGGACCGAAGGTTGTGGAGAGTCCACCCTGTTCGCTTTGATCAACGGCTCTGGGGCTTCGGGGGGGGGGGGGGGGGTAGAGGCATTCTTCCCGCCGTTTCCTTAGTCCCTTTTAATCTGAGGGGAACTGAGGTAGGCTTTCTTTTTCTGGCGGTCGTAAGGTTAACAGGCGGGCGGAACGAGGAACCTCGCTTGCTTCCCTGGACTCGCGAGAAGCTTTTAAAAAGAAAAGAAAATATATATATATATATATATATCGCCTTAGCCGGGCGATGGTGGGGAGACCGACGGAGCCTAGCGCTCACTTGGGCGACGACGGTGTCCCAAAAATAAAATAAAATAAATAAATCTGCCAAGTAAAGCGAAACCTTTAATGCTGCTCCTTCCCCGAAGGAGTTCTCTCTCGCCCCGCTCATTTAAGCCTTCGAGCGCCCCTTTTACTTTCCTTCCTCGAGCGAGGTGATTCGTGTCTTGTGTGAATGCACCACGGTTTGACCTTGGTCGTTTTCGCATCTTTTTCTGTGCTTTTTTTTTTTTCTTCGTCCTTTTTTTTTTTTTTTAATTTTAAAACCCTATACAGGAATAGCTGGCTAAGCAGTCTCCACCTACGGTACTTCTGTGTAATTTTCTGTTTAATTACACTCGGTGGAAATAGTCGCAAACCTGTATAGTACCTTTTAATTTGGAACTGGTTCCACTTGCGGGACTACACTCTTGCTAGGTGAATAAAAGATTGTTTAAGACAGTGTTTCTCAACCTTGACCGTTTTAAGGCATGTGGACTTCAACTCCCAGAATTCCACAGCCAGCAATGCTGGCTGTGGAATTCTGGGAGTTGAAGTCCACATGCCTTAAAATGGTCAAGGTTGAGAAACACTGGTTTAAGACCTTTTGGAGAACAACAATCGTGAGAATGATTCTCCTTGTTATCTTGTGCCAGCCTGTATTAGAACTATAGCTTTAAAAAATTGGATATATTCTCTTGGCAATTACAAGAATAAATTGTGGCTGACAGAAGTCTAATGAATTGGCTTGAAACGTTTCTTTGAGTTCAAGAGCGTTTTAATTCTCAGGTAAATTTTCATAAAATTATAACTTCTTGATTTGATTATATTAGTACCTAATCTTCAGTAGGTGAATAAAAGATTGTTTAAGACAGTGTTTCTCAACCTTGACCATTTTAAGGCATGTGGACTTCAACTCCCAGAATTCCACAGCCAGCAATGCTGGCTGTGGAATTCTGGGAGTTGAAGTCCACATGCCTTAAAATGGTCAAGGTTGAGAAACACTGGTTTTAAGACCTTTTGGAGAACAACAATCGTGAGAATGATTCTCCTTGTTATCTTGTGCCAGCCTGTATTAGAACTATAGCTTTAAAAAAAAGGATATATTCTCTTGGCAATTACAACAATAAATTGTGGCTGACAGAAGTCTAATGAATTGGCTTGAAACGTTTCTTTGAGTTCAGAGTGTTTTAATTCTCAGGTAAATTTTCATAAAAAATTATAACTTCTTGATTTGATTGTATTAGTCCCTAATCTTCAGTAGCTTTGCATTCGTAATTAATTCTGAATAATGGATGTGAATGTGTGAGCTTCTTGTAAATGAAACTATGACAAACGCTTAATGCATTAGAAGGGAGAGGAACAAGTGCTGACTGTGCTATAAGTTTGTTCCTTAACTTGCCCAAGAAACATGTAGTCTAAAAATTAGTTCAATCTTGAATTGGACATAATAGTTGGAAATTATAGCTAATCCAGCAATTTCAAAAGTGTTAGAACACAAAGGCCATACTCTGATCATTGACTGCACTGTCTTAGGTTTATTGGAGTTATAATTCAAAATAACTAAAAAGGAATTGATGCATTGCTTCTCCCTAGTTGTGCTAAGAATTGTTCAGGAATTGCTCTTTCATATTCATTTAGAATGAGTAGTATATTTATTGTTTCAGTCTGTGATAGACTGAGGAGCAAGTACAGCACAAAACTGGTTATAAAAGCTAGATGTACCTAATAGGTGCTTTTTTTTGTAAAGAGAAAGCCTCAAAGGATGCAGCCATACATTTTTATCTCCATTTTTATTTTACAATTGTAAGGAAGAAAGTGCCTTTTTCTAGTCTCAAAGCTGTTTCTCCAAAACAGAGGATAGTCTTTATTTAAAAGTTTATTAAATTTTTCTTGAAATATCTAGAAATGTAGGAATGAAAGAAAGGAACTGTTTGAAAATTTCTAAAATAAATCTCAAATGTGTATGTGTATATATAAAAGGTGTATTATATGCATTGACAAGCGGGAGGGGTTCATTTTCTCTATTCCCTTTTGTGTTTTGTGGGGATAAAAAAATCCCCTTCTTTCTCTGAATAGGGAACCTGGCTTGCTAATAATTTATCACTTCCTGGTTCTGTGTATTGTCCTAAAAGAGATATAGTATACTATAGATAACTTTGTGCTAATTATGACTACTGTATTCATAGATAAATTGTTTCTGAGTAAAAAAAAATCCTAGAAAGAACTATTGAATATGCTTTCCTATCAAGGTTAATTCATGACTATATTGAAATAGCATGTATTTTTGTCTGTGTATCTTTTGTAAAAATACACATTACTATTATCTTTCTATTTTAATGCTGAAGGATTGAGAAAAATGATTATGTATGCACAAGTATAAGAACATAGAAATGGAATACAAGTGTCAAATCCAGAGTATCAAACTTAGTTATAATTAAAATCAATGCAGCTTTCATTCAGCTGTAATAGTCAAACATGCATAGGTTTATTAATATTTCTGTATTTGTTCATACAGAGAATGTGGCTTTTTAACTTACTATTGTCCATGCTGATAATTCTAGAAGTGTTCTTTCTGATTTGATGGAATAATATTTGGTGCAATTCATCACTTTCCTTTTCTTCATAGTCTTAAAGGGCTTTGGTCAGCCTCCAAAGTACTTTATTGTATAAAGGTCTAAATGTTGATCTTGATGTTTTAATTCTCTGTATAATAGGTAGGCTGCCCTCCTCAAAAGGCTGTAATATTGAGCATTTGGTTTGGTTTCTGCTCATTTAATTAAGTTATGAGCCAGAAAGTTCTTATTTAAATATCTCTCCTAAGTTTGTTCAAAGGCTTTGAGCAAGTCACTATTAATGTTCCCCTTCAAAACTCAATATTGCAAAATACTGAGAAATGCGCAATAAACATTCTTAAGGATATTAAGATCTAGTGTCACAGAACTAAAGCATAATTGAGTTCCTTGAAATAACTTTTTTATCTGATCCAGGCTATTTACATAAAAGTAACTGCACTTATTTTCAGTTTGGTGTTCTTTCTAATCTTTTGTTTAGGGGTAGGAACTTACAAAAATTAAGTGTAAAGAAGCCCAACTGAACTTGCAAAATGGCAGGCTTCCTAGACAATTTCCGTTGGCCTGAATGTGAATGTATAGATTGGGGTGAAAGAAGAAATACAGTTGCTTCTGTGGTGGCTGGGGTCTTGGTAAGTCATATGACATTATTTATGGCTAATTTTAAGTCCTAGTAATATGACCTATATCTAAATTCTGTAAGAACTTGTCACATCCAACTAATTTGAAATAATTTTAATCAGTTGTGTAGCATGACAATGACACTGTATAATACATAAATATAAGATTAGTTTTGATTACTAAGTGTTACATATATTTGTGGGGTTTTCTTATTTTCCTTTTTGCATATAAAAGAAAAAGGGAAAAACTTGAATTCATTTTGTTTTTGGATTACTAGAGACCCGTAATTTTATATCTATAACATTTTACAAACATTATGGATGATACTCAGTTCTAACAATGAAGCAAGTTGACCCCTTGCTAATGATGATGCCTTAGGTCCTCACCAATATGAGAACTGATGAATTATTGTGTCAATGGTACAATATCCATTGGCAAGGAATTGGAAAGAGAAGTGGTAATAGCTACTGGTTCTTTGTGAACTTTGTAGACTTGCAAATGGGTAAACATGTTGATGCTTATAATATCTTGATATCCAAAATTTATTTGAAAGTCATATTAAGTAGTCCAGGTCAGTCTCAACTATCTGTAAGTCAGAGGTTAGAAACTGGAAAGACTGGTCATCTGTAAATGACTTGCATTATATCTCTTGTATTTTAAGAATTATTTCTTGTTGTCTAGGTTAACATAAATAAAAACTAGAAAAAATAGTTATTTTACAAAGCTTCCCACTTCTCAGTAAAATCTCAATTTATATTTGTATGTATTTCTCTTATATACTGCAGTTTTCCACATATTTCTACAAATATTGTGCGTATTAGGGATACATAGGGATAGATAACAGTGTTCCCACAGTCCAACAGAGTACTGAAAGATCACATGCTATATGGATATATTTTTATTGATGGCTATTTGATATTGTTCCAGACAGACTTTATAAATGTCCCAGTATTAATAACTATTTTTCTAGTGATTGCCCCCTCCCCGTTCAGTCAGTCATTGCACTGGAGAACGTACTGTATTACAGTAAATGAGTTAAGAATGTAAAGTTTCAAATCACAAAAGGCTAATCTTATGTCCCTTTTTATGAGACTGTGATTTTATACTACTATTACAACTAGTAAAATAGTAGAATTTAATTTAAGTACAGATATTCTCCTTTATTGATTATGATATACAGTACTATTTTTATGTTTCTATTCTGCATTGCTTTGTGTATTTTACAGAAATGCAATCTAAAGTTAAGCTGCTTAGAAAGAATGACAATTCATGTGGAAGGTGAGGGTTAAGCGATCCTTCTTTCCTAGTCATGGAGTCTGTTTGGCTCAATTTTACAGTGGTGTGTTTCAACGGTGCTGAAAAAAGTGACTTATGATCAAAATTCGGATGCTTGGCAACTGACTCATATTTATGACTGTTGTAGTGTGCCCAGGGTCATGTGATCACCTTTTGCAACCTTTTTATAAGCAGTCAATGGGGAAGCCAGTTTCACTTAAAAACGGTGTTACTAACTTAATAACTGCAGTGATTCACTTAACTGTGGCAAGAAAAGTTGTAAAATGGGGCAAAATTCACTTAACAAATGTTTCACTTAGCAACAGAAATGTTGGGCTCAATTGTCGTAAATAGAAGACTACGTATATTTCCAACATATCATTGTCTGAATGTCACTGAAAATGAATAAGTTGTGACTATTTTGCTTAGAAGCTTAGTTTCAATTATAGAATTGAATGACTGGTGCTTATATGATTATGGTGCTTAACAAAGGAGTGATGATATTAGGAAGAAAGATATATGTATCACCATTTTAAAATTGTTTTTGAATTGATTGATTAATCATATTTTTTATAGTTTTTTACAGGCTGGTGGATAATGATAGATGCTGCAGTAGCTTATCCTAAGCCAGAACAAATGAACCACGCATTTCACACTTGTGGAGTATTTTCCACCCTAGCTTTTTTCATGTAAGTCAATATAAAATCATAGCAGGGAACAGCACCTTGATTACATCGGCTGATGATGAAAAAGCTTACCTGGATTTGATTAGAGTTAGGTTGGATGCGACACCACTAGGAAATCCCAAGGTTGTTGACCAGACTAAAAATTTGCCATAGCAATTCCATTTCCAAATCTTGTCCAGAATAAAATGTACGTGTATCCTTGTAGTCACCAAGACTCCTATTTGCATCAAGTGAGATTTGTGTGTGTATGTGTGTGGATATATTTGTTCTCTATGCTTCATTTATTTTTTGAATTATTGTTGGCTGTTAGAAAAAGCAAAATACATTTTTAAGGGAATTGTTTAAATTTCCAATTTGTTTACTATTCTTCATGTCTTAGTTGCTTAGTGATCGTTCAAAGTTACGATGGACCCCCAAAAGGTACTTACAACTTGGTTCTGAAGTTCCAACGGCTGCTGTCCTGGTCCTGGGACCAGATTTTGGCTGCATAACAACTGCCGGTATCTCAAACCATTTGCAGCATCCTACAGTCATACAACTGATTTACGTTTTTGCTGAAAACCAGCATTTACTTCTGGGTTTTGGCAAAAATGCTCCATAGCAAACAATGGATTTGCCTAATGACCACAGATTCACTTACTGACCATGGTGATTCACTTATGAACTGTCACAAAAAAGGTTTAAAATCTGGTTGGATATGTGATGACTGCTTTAAAACTGTCACGACTTACCACCATAATGGGTGGGTTCCATTACATTTATAAGTCGAGGTCTACCTATATGCAAGTATGTTTTTAAACAAATTCAGTTTAAAAATACAGGTTTTTGTTTGTATTAAAGATTTTCATACAATCTTCAAACCACCATTCCTACTCCATGGGCTTTTGTTTGTTTGTTTATATTCCACCTTTATATTTTTACAAATAACTCAAGGTGGCTACATATCCAACATACTTCCTTCCTCCTATTTTCCCCACAACAACTCTTGTTAGCTGAGCTGAGCTGAGAGAATGACTGGCCCAATATCACCCAGCTGACTTTCATGACTAAGACAGGAGTAGAACTCATTGTCTCTGACTTACTAGTCTGGTGCCTTAAACACTAGACCAAACTTTTCCTGTTTCAATATGTGTTAATGCTAGGTGTTATTAACACTGATTACAACTTACTACTTTCAAGGCATAACTGTTTGTTATGCCGGTCTGTGGCCATATATCAGGTTCAAAAGATCTATACCTATACCTCAAGGTTCAATTAAGCTGATTTATTGCTAAAAGTCTATACACAGGAGCCTTCTCAACAGTCAGCGTCTGGATAGAGTTATGTAAGGGTAAATGGTACTCAAGGAGGGTTGGACTTATTTCGCTTGTGACTATGTAGGGATTCAAGGTTCATCCCCCCTTTTCATTCTGCCCCCAGATTCTGCCATTCCTTCTCCTAAACCAGCGGTCCCCAACTTTTGTGGCTTGGTGGCCTGGCTGGGGGGCAGAGGAATTGGGCCACGTCAGTGGCAGGTCAATGTGCCTAAGTACGAACTTGACTCGCGCAAGCGGTGGGCCAGCGCGTGCAGATACACTCTCTCACCAGCCCACCGCTGACGCAGCCCCATTGCAAATATGCCACGGCCCGGTAGTGGGCCATGGCTCAGAAGTTGGGGATCCCTGTCCTAAACCACATCAGAAATAAGAGTGCATAGGCTTAGTCAAGTATCAGACACGTACCAATAATTACAGAAAAATGAACAAGAAAATGCATTAAATTTACTATTCATATTTTAAACATGTTTTAAACATTATTGAGCTGTAATATTTTGGATTTCATATCTTTTCTGCATTAACTCCTTTAGATTCAAAGGAAAGAAAACTAAAATGAATTTCAGAATGGAAATGTGATCAAATGGATTTTATTTCTGCTTTTTTTCTATTTTTAAGATTTGTTTGTGAATATGTTGCAGGATAAACGCTGTATCAAATGCTCAAGTAAGAGGTGACAATTATGGTGATGGATGCTTAGGAAGAACAGGTGAGTGCACTCTTGTTTACAAGAATCCTTATCTAAAATCTTGCTGTTCAGGAGAAGATGCAGCACGCCAAAACTTTCTATCCTAATTTTGTACTACAAGGCAGAAGAAAGAGATAGTCACACATGAGTTTCTTCCTGCTTTTGAGGTAAAACACTGGTAATGTTGCTTTGTAAAAGTGGTATTACTGCTTTAAAAAGTGTTAAATTTTCAGGCTGAACAAAGGAAGGGGTAAAAACTTCTTTGATATTTCAGGAAAGATTCTTCCTTTATCACAATTTTATTAATGAACATTGGGCAGTGTATGTTTAAAGTTTAATTCCATTGTATCTTTGCAGGAATTACTTGAACAACGCTCCCAAAGTTATCTTATGAATTTCATTGTGGAGGTTGGGGGAGGGGGGGCGTTACCAAAATAGATCTCTTTAAATTGACCTGTATTGCTCAATTGCTCAATGTTACTTAATTATTTATATCAAATGTTTTAAGATAACATTTATCTGGTTAATCTTGTACTGTGTTGCACCTTAATTTCTTTGAATTTATCAGAGCTATTGATCTGGCATTTGAAAATAGTATAATTTTTGATAATGTGCCCTTTTTAATCACTGAAATTTTTAACACATAAAAGTAAAGTTTGATCCAAGGAATGTAAATCTTGTTTTAGGTGCTCGTGTCTGGCTCTTCATTGGCTTCATGTTGATGTTTGCCTCACTTATTGCTTCTATATGGATCCTTTTTGGAGCATATGTTACCCAAAGTAAGAATCCTTTCTTCCTATTTTTTAATAAGGGGAGGAAAAATACACTGAATATGTTTTTAAATCATTAAATAACTAGTGTTTTAAATCAATCAAATGCATATTAATTATATATTTTGAAAGTATTTAACATAGAGTAGAAAATATTCAGACTGCTTTATTGTTAAAAATATCCAATCTAGAATATAGTACAGGATAGGACAGAACATGAAAGTACAATATAAAAATAAAAGGAAATGGATGATTAGAATATAGCTTAAAAAAATAATTTCAGAATATTTGAATAAATTCCGCAATTCATATAGTACATATTATTGTTCCATGTTTGAAATTTTTTTAAAAAAATTGATTTGAATTGGGAAAGTAGTTTTGGTTGGTATATGTTTTCTTGAAGATGTATAGTTCAGACTTTAAAAATGCAGGAAATATTCCCTTAATCGTTCTGAACAGGGCTGTGTAAGAACAAAAGTACTTCAGTTTATGTATTCATCACATTTATATAGCTGCCTATCTCATGATTCTGGGCAACAGTTTGATAGCAATGCCTCGGCAAACAAAATTCTGTACAGGTAGTCCTCACCTTATGACCACAATGAAGCCCAACATTTCTGTTGCCAAGTGAGTCAGTTAAGTGAATTTTGCTCCATTTTAAAACCTTAACCAATTGTTAAGTGAATCACTATGGTTGTTAAGTTAGTAGCACGGTTGTTAAGTAAATCTGGCTTTCCCACTGACTTTGCTTGTCAGAAGGTGGCAAAAGGTGAGCTACATGACCCCAGCACACTGCAACCATCGTAAATGTGTGTCAGTTGTCAAGCATCTAAATTTTGATCACGTGACTACAGGGATTCTGCAACAGTCATAAATAAGTGTGAAAAGTGGCCATAAGTCACTTTTTCATGCCGTTGTAATCTCAATCACTAAATGACCTGCTGTCAGTCAAGGACTACCTGTACAGAGAATTGGAGAAAGTAAAGCCATTTCTGCTGATCTAACCTTAAATGAAGTTTGACAGAGCCAGTTGGTGTAATGCTTAAAGTGGTGGTTTAGAACCCAGGAGACTTAAGTTCTAGTCCCGCCTTAGGAATGAAAGCTGGCTGACTTTGGGCCAGTTACACACTCTCAGATCAGTCTGTGTGATGGCAGTCTGGTTGCTGTGAGAAAAATAGGAGAAATATATGTTCACTGTCTTGAGTTACTTATAAGGTAATAAATGCGGGATAAAAATCTAATAAAAATTTATTATAGAGTGTAAATATTAGCACTGTCTAGCACTGGAACTGCACTGCATGTGTGAAATGCAGCCACAGTATCTTGGGAAAAGATGCAGAGAGATGCTATTCTTAATATCTCCATGTACTTCAAACCAGCTTTTTTGTTTTGAATCCAAACCCCATTGAACAGCCTACTAAATATACTATCTTCTGTGGATGCTTTGAATGTTAAATCAACAACACTTTTGCTCAACTAATTTAGTGCTTTTATCATAAACCCATCAGTTTATCAAGTAGAAATGGACTTCATTATAAGAAGTCAAGGCATGTTCTTCATTTCCTGTATAGCAAGAATAAATTGCAATTCTGTTTTCACAAACATAACTGATCACAAACTAGCTAATGTTATTTTTGCCTATTGTGCTAAATGAATTCAGTCTGACTAGTTCACAGTTCAACATATTGTGTGAATCCAGAAAATTAGATTAAGTAAATTGTGATTATACTAATAATACAGAAGCATATTGTGTAAGTACAATGTATAAGAGGGCAGATTGTCATTTCAGCTGGCTGTTAAGTTGTGCCAACTCTTAAATTACTTTTACCTTTAAAGTATTACAGAGAACTCTTAGATTTAAAGGAGACTTAAAGATAATCTCAGAAACCTGGAAAAGACCATTGTTTCACATACTAGCCTAATGATTATAGATGTGTCATGTAATTGGATGTTTAAATAAGCTGAGTAATAATTTTTGAAATTCAGATATATAGGTATGAATTAAAAAGCCTCTCCATGTCCTAGCAGTAGATCAACTTCAAACTGAGTAGTAATTCAGAATTTTAAGATGCTGTGTTAGGTTGTGTGAAGGACTCCATTCCCAGGTCAGATTCAGCTTGTATAATCTTTTGAATTAAATCTTTGCATTTTATAGTGGAATGTAGTAATTTTTACTTTCTTCCTTACATCAAAGTAAAAAATACATTTTGGCATTTGTATTTTTAGATATTAATGTATACCCGGGATTAGCTGTGTTTTTTCAAAATGCTTTGATATTTTTTAGGTAAGTACCGATGCCTAAAGAGTTGAATAAGTTAAAGTTAATATTTTAAATGGGTAATTCAGACAGCAGAATGGGTGTTAATGTTCATTCTCCATCACTGTATATCAAAATTAGAAGTTAAGTAAATATTAAAACTAACAATAAAATAGGAAATTTCTAAGCAAATAATTAAAAAAGAGCATATGCTAGGCTACTCTTGTGTTTGCAAGGCATCAGATTTCCTGCTACTATCATTTGATAGGCTAGGTAATAAATCCATTTATAATTTCAATATTGCCATTTAGATTTTCAAAATCAAAATTACCACCTCATAGTAGAATACCTTTCCTTGTCTCTTCTATGACTGAACAAACATCTGGAGCACTGTTTTAGTCAGACATTCAAAACAGGCTGCCTTGATCAAAGGATGTATATATGTTCAGTTCTGTGATAAAAGTCTCCTTCAACTTGTGTCCCTGAAGATTCATGCTTTGCCCAACTGTCTTCTAGGCCCCAGGTTTTTAATATCAAGTAGTTCTCAAGATGAAATCAGAAGGAACAGCACATGTTCTCTTTTCCTTTGTCTTCAGGATTTATTCCACTAGCCTTTGCTCATTAAGGGAGGCTGTATAGATAGTGCTGTATTTTATCAAACTTGTGACTAGTACTATTACTATCACAGGTAAAGATTTGCACAGCCTTGTTTGCATATGCAGGTACATATAGAAAGAGACTATTCACAAGGTTATTACTGTTTTAAAAAAATCTTTATTCATAACAACCCTCTCTTCTCAAGATAGAAAAATTACACAATACCTTTGATGGGTACTTCTAGGGCCCTCTGCTTTGAAATATCCTCTAATAATGCCACACCTGTTGAATACAACTGAGGTCAGAAGTAAATGTGATTAGGCACAATTTCACCAATGAAGCTGAGAGGTCAAATATTATTTACCCTTTTCTCCCACTGAACTGTTTTCATTTAAGCAGTTCTTCATTAAAACACACAACTGAAATCTATATACATCTTAAGAATAGCCCTTTGAGTTTCTTGACTTTATCTTCCCTTTTTTTATCTCCCCCCCCCCCCAGTTTTTGGATTTTAAATGATAGAAGCAGTATGTTTACACAGTGTTTAATATATTTTAGCAACTTTAAAAGCTACTTTTTTTTCAACATTTAAGCAATAAACAGGCAAAATGGCTATTTATCCTTCACTTCACTGTGCTTTCAGTTCAATTCCTTTGAATCTTAAAGAGTGCATTAACTTATCCAGTACTGATCTCTTTGTTTTTTTTTATGGAAATGATAATGTGTTCTATTCGAGGGAAAAATAAATACTGACAATTTAACTAGTTCAGTTAATAAGGCTTTGTTGATATGCTACTTCAACTTCCACCTTTTAAAAAATGCTGTTTAAAAAGATCATATCACCAAAGCACTGGATACTGGATTATATTGAAATTAAATCCATTATTGCCATATTCAAGCACATATGCTTTTTCGTTTAAAACTAGTGATGGAACAGTTGAAATATATGCTAGTTTTTACTGTGCCTTTTTACTGAAGAACAAAACAATGTTTGACTTACAGGTCTAAATTTCTGTTTTTGTAGTACCCTTATCTACAAATTTGGAAGAACAGAAGAATTGTGGGCCTAAGAATCTGTTTTTCTTCATCCTGCATAGCAACTTTTTATGTAAATAATATAATTTACATTTTGTTTTTATTTTGCCAAGCTCATTGAATTATAAATTTTGTATGCTTACTTTTTTTTTTTGAAAAGTGAACTGATTTTAGGATTTTGTTCCAAATTTTTAGTAGAACAAATTTGTTCATATGTATATATTACGGTTATCTGTAACCTATGACCTAACCCTTCCATTTTTATTGCAGCTGGCATTATTTTGTAGGGAATATTATAAATATATAGGTTTTTCAAGAACACCTACTGCTCTTAAGCGCAAATAAGTCTACAAGTACCTTTTCAGATGGCATCAGCCAAGAGGCAAAGATTTAGTGATGGAAAAGTGAGAGACTGAAATGTATCATGAATAGTTAATCTGCAAGATTCCATCATTATATGGTAATGCATGACTACACTTCTTTAAGCTTCAATTTTTAAAAAAATGATTGTGTAAACAAACACCATATTCCAGAATGTTATTCATATAATTGTAATTTCAAAAGTTTGTGAATAGCATATGATACTGCAAATGCGCTAAGAGCTTTCTTTTTTAGCACAGCATGCCTTAAAATGGGATGGTCCCTAAAAGTGCTGATAGATTTGACATTGTAACAAAAATCTACATGAAATTTTACAGTATTCAGGCATTTTGTTAAATATTTTTTATAATATCACTTAAGATTCTGTTCATATATTATTTATAAATAGAGATTGCAATTATTTTAATGCAGAATTGCTGTGTATTTTATATGCTTATGCAATATGCTGAGTAAGGGAAGTTTTATGTTTAAAAAAAAATTCAGGAACTATTTTATTGTTTACTTGATTAGGATAATTTCTGTGTATCTTTAGAGGTGATCTAGATTCCAAACGAAAAGGATCAGTAGAGAGAGAGTATATATTTTTATTACAACATATGGCAAGACTATCATCTTAAATTTTTTCAAAAAAATTTAGATATTTAATTTATATAAATGAACATGTATGCAAAGCAGTGACATGTTAATCTGTATACTGAAAATTATGGCATGCTATATATATATAATTTAAAGATTCTGTTAAATTATGAATACTCAAGTTCCTCTACAGTCTGACTATAGAAGGTCCTACTGAAGCAGATATTCCAGCTTTCCTATCTTGCATGCCTTTGACTTTTCCCATAGCTAGAAAATAAACTTGGCCAGGTAGTTATCTCTTAAAGACTTTCTTAGCCCTCTCAAAGGACAGACTATGAAGCAAACCTGACATGCTAAGAGTTGTCCTGTTTCTTCTTTCTTGGAGCAGACCATATTAGAAAGATTAAACTATTTTGTTTATTGTAAATACATTAAAGTCAAATAATCAGCAATATAAAAATGGTTTGTTTTGTATATTAGCATGATTTTATGAGAGGATCCCACAGGAGTGCTTCTTTATCTTACCTGCATATTATCAAAAGGTACAATTGCAGTAGAAATGGGGTCTCTAGTACACTGCCTATGGGTTTTCTCCTTGGTGATTGTCAGACACGCTGCCTGATAATTTTATTTGAGAGAGAAAGAAACCTATGAACTTCAGAAAATAAAGTGAAAGAAGAGGGATGATGATAATGGTTATGGCAAGGCACTCAAAAAGTGTGCAAAATGAAAAGGCACAAAGTACCTCACCCTAAAGCAGACATGTCAAACTTGCGACATCACGTGACGTCGTGCAACGTATCAGGACAGTTTTGCCATTACCGGCAATGGGGTGGGTGCGGCTTCCGCGTGACGCGTCCGGCCTGTGGGCAGTTTGACGGGTGCCCTAAAGCAGCTACATCCTTTGGATGGCTTGTGCAAGTGCTTAAAAGCCATCACTGGCTGTGTCCTCATGCATGTCCACGCATATTCAAATCGCCGCTGGAAGTGGCAGTATTGTCTGTGCACATAAAATCGGAATAAAGCAGTGTGCAAATCTCACAAAGATTTGCTGCATTGGGACTTAATAGAAGGGTGCTTTTGAGCTAGTACTTTATAAACCACCTATTTCAAACACCTGCACAGCTGTAGCAGTATATATCACGAAGAGCTAAAGGTTATAAATAATCTGTGACTGGGATTTTTTAAGTATTATGTTTGATGGACACATCATGGTATTGATACCATGATACAAAGACATCTTGAGGTATTGCCTGGACTTTGGTAAACAATTTCTTCTAGCATGCATTGAACAAGTCATGAGTAGAACTAGCCTCTTCTAAGCCATTAAATGAGAGCTGTGGTGGCGCAGTGATTAAAATGCAGTATTGCAGGCTCAAGGTTGACTCAGCTTTCCATTCTTCCGAGGTGAGGGCCCAGATTGTTGGGGGCAATATGCTGACTCTGTAAACTGCTCAGAGGGCTGTAAAGCACTATGAAGCGGTATATAAGTCTAAGTGCTAAATGCAAATATTTTCAAAAACTATATAGCATACTACTGTTAATTCCAGCCACAAGTCTGTTACATTCAAAAAGAGATTTTTATTTACTCGTATTTTGGCAAACACACAAAAAAATAACGTTAAAATTGCTTTCTATTAGCATTTTCCATCAACGAGATAAAGAGTAATTGCCAATTATTGGCTAAGTTCAATATCAGCACTACATTTTGTATGATGCTTGACACAAGCATTTTAAGAGTTTAGTTTTGGCTTAACACAGAGGTCCCCAGTTTTAGGAGACTGGACACTGGATAGTTGGAATGTTCAGTCTTAGAACTTAAAAGGTAAGATGGGAAACCTATAATACCCACTAATCAGCCAGAGTTTTAATACAGGTTCTGCATTTCTGATTGTATGGTTCTTCCAATAAAGACATATATACATTACCAGGAGGAAAACAAGGACAAATTTTTTCCAAGTTATAAGGAATTTCAAGCAATTTTAATCCTTAAACAGCATGAAGTACCATTAATTTTAGGCCGAGTGTCCAATTAAAATTGAATTCTTACTACAATCAAATAGCAGCATATACAGGTGGTCCTCGACTCACAGCAATTCACTTAGTGACCGTTCAAAGTTAGTGGCACTGAAAAAAGTGATTTATGACCTTTTTACACACTTATGACCAGTGCAATATCCAGTCATGTGATCAAAAATCAGATGCTTAGCAACTGACTTGTATTTATGATGGTTGCAGTGTGCCAGGGTCATGTGATCACTTTTTGTGACATTCTGACAAGCAAAGTCGATGGGAAAGCCAGATTCACTTAACAACCATATTACTAACTTAACTGCAATGATTCATTTAACAGCTGTGGCACAAAAGGTCGTAAAATGAGGCAACATTCACTTAACAAATGTTTCACTTAGCAACAAAAATTTTGATCTCAATTGTAGTCATAAGTCAAGGACTAGCTATAGTCAGTTCCTTCTTCCCAGTATTTTCTAGGATTTATAAAACAAAGCATTTAGTTTCTCTGATAGAAATTGACGTTATAAAGTACAAATATATATGCATCACAAATTTAGTACAAAAACAGTATAAAAATGCCTAAGAACTGAACAGCGCATACAAGTACCATGAAAATTATGCAGTGAAGGACTATTTAAATCAGTAATTAAATGGCTGCCATAGCAAGCTTGAACACTTCAAATCTTGGCATGATGAAGGAAATCCAAGAAAGGGACAATCTGTAGTGATTAAGGAAAAGAGCAATGTAGGAATTCAACCTGTTGCAATTCTGAGTAATCTCAATGCTTAAACAATTGCCTGGAATTCTATATATTATTGCTGTTAATTGTGAAGTCGTGTTCGACCCATCGCGACCCCATGGACAACGTTCCTCCAGGCCTTCCTGTCCTCTACCATCTTCTGGAGTCCATTTAAGCTCATGCCTACCAGCAAGAAGAGCATGCAGATATTCAACTGCTGCTAGTAGCCAGTCCAATTGAATTTTTTTAAAACAAAAAATACAACTAGACCATAGTCTGGTCTGTTAAAATTGATAGGAAGTGAAATATTCACACAGCCCAAGTTCCAGGAAATTACAATAATTTAAGTTGTTGCTGTTCCATTAATGTTGGAAGCAAGATCTTAATTAATAAACAGGCTGCAGCTGATCCACCAGACATAACTAGTAGAAGAACCTTCAGCCCATCGTGCAGGGAAGTTCTTCTGATTCCGTTCTGTTCAAGAAGAGCACAAACTTATTTGAAACACATTATTCACCAGCTGCAGTCAATAGTATTCAATTTATATTCTGAAGATAGTTCCAAATTAAGAAGTTTTAAAATGTAAACATCAAGCCTATAAATTAAAACCAGGTCAAACATGCTGTCTGTATTTAACAGCATTGAAGTTTCAAATGATTTCACCAGTTAAATTTCATATCAAACCAACTTCTCATCTTAATCTATTGCAGGGGTGTCAAACTGCCAGCCCACGGGCCAGTTTCATCATACCAAAGCCGTGCCCACCCCAGTCGGCAATGCAAAGAGTTGCGATACGTCGCGTCACATGACGCGACGAGTTTGATACCCGTGATCTATTGCAAAAAGTTTTAATGAGGTAATGCTGGTGTAAACTATCCTTGTTGCACAATATTGCCCAGGGAAAAACAAAACTTTTTAATCATTAAGGCAATAGGATTTGTGTTCTCCTAACATTCACACTGAAATTCTGAACGCATTTATCCAGGCTAAACCTACTGAAATATTAGGACTTTCTTCCAAATGAATAAACGTGCTATGAAAATCAGTTTCTTAATTCATATTGCTACACAGACGGATGAGCAGAACTTCCTTAGAAACTGGATGTCTTAAGCAGCTAAAACAACTTGATGGTAATGAATAAGGTGTAAATGATATAAAATATTTTTCATCATATTGTCTATCAACTGTGTTCACTGGCAAAACTTGTCAGAATCTTATCATCTTCTGCTTTGGAAGTAATTGAAATAATGTCCCAAGGATCTTCTCCAGCAGCGCTCTGAAATTCTTCAATTGTAATCATTTGGGGGTCATTTAGGTCCTGAAAAAAACATTAGATTGTTAGAAACCAATAAACATATATTCATATTTGCTATGATAATATTGAAATAGAAAATAGTCAACAAAAAAGTAATTCATAATATTTTCTTTGAGGAAAATTCTATTGAAGTCAGGGAGTTTTATCTGTTTCATATAAATGTAGCCTATCTACATTCATACAGATTTAGAACTGAAATGGGGTCTTGTTACTCTGTCCAATTTTATATTTCGAGAGTTCAGTTGCACTAAATTGAATTTTTAAACATTTTATCATCTCAGATGTGCCAAACTTTTAATATTTTTGTTCACAGAAATGGTGCCTATTTGCAAGAATGAAAGATGAGGGCACACAGTCGGGCATTACTATGGGGTGAAGAAAAATGTTTCATGCTCCTCGTGATTCAGATTGTTGTTAAACTCTAATTTTAACCATGCTGGATTATACCAGAAGGCTGCAAGCATATTAAACATTGATTTATGCCAGGGATCTGCAACCTCTCTAGGTGCAAGGGCTATATACTGTACTAAGTGGCTTTGCGTGTCATATCAAGGAAGGGGATCAGACTCAGTTTTATTTCTTTTCTAGTCTTATCATTTGAAATATTTTTGGCAAGAATAAAGTCGCCAAACTAAAATAGCTGTGCAGGGTTTTTTTTTTCATTGGGAGAATCAAAAACTTCCTTTAATATGATAGTTATCTTTACCATTTAAAAAAAAGTTTGGTATTCTTTAAACAGAAGAGCCAATTTGATGTAGAGAGCTTGAGTTCTACTCCTACGTTAGGCACAAAGCCAGCTGGTTGACCTTGGGCCAGTCACTCATTCTCAATCCTTGGAAGGAAGCAATCTCAAACCATTTAAAAAATCTTGCCAAGAAACTGCAGGAAGTGTTCAGGCAGTCTCTGAGAACATTGGACACAACTGAACGGAAGAACAGAAAATCAAAAACAGGTAGTCCTCTACTTAACAATCCTTTTGAACAATTATTTTGAAACCCTTTTTTTTAAAATGAGATTTAAATAAATACATTCACTTTTGTTGACTCATATGTCTAGTCTATTTCAATATAGTTTTTACCATTTTTATATTAATATTTACAATTCATACACACACACGCACGCACACTGCTGGAATCTAATTTTTAGATTCTCAGGTTTCTTATGCTTGTCTATAAATCAACTATAGGGCTGAGCTACATAAATACAATGAACTTTGACCAAATACTCACTACAGTAATTTACTATGTAAGCACTATAATGACATTTGAGGCACAGAAGGACTTGCAAAATAAATAAATAAAATACCAGAAAAATTTTTTCAAGACTAAATCCAGATTGCGATTACTGTACACTTACATTTGATTAGTTTCCCATTTACTGAAAAATACAAGCTGACTGAACATTAAGCAACTTCCATCTAACAATGTTTCCCCCAAAAAATCAAGAAGGAGGCAAATACTGTACAGAAAGTCTAGAATTATAATCAACAGTTATATGCAAAAGTCTCAGTATCCTCATTAAATTGTTTGTTTCAAGTGGACAAACCCAATACAAGTCGACAATACAAGTGGACAAACCCAATACAACTGTTACATGAAACAAATTTAAGCACAGCAGTTTTGGCAAATTCATCTCCTGCTTTCTGGAGTGCAAATTCCCCCCAAAATGTTCCAGCCTCACTAACACCAGTCATATTTGTGACCAATCACGGTTTCTGTTTAATCCAGTGGTTCTCAACCTTTTTAATGCCGCGACCCCAACCGGTCGTAAGTCGAGGACTAAACCGGTCGTAAGTCGTAAGTCGAGAACTAAACCGGTCGTAAGTCGAGGACTAAACCGGTCGTAAGTTGAGGACTACCCAACCGGTCGTAAGTCAAGGACTTTCCCTGCCCGGGAGCGCCGCGCATGTGTGGTTCCGCCCCCTGCGCCAGCCGAGGCGTAGCTGGCAAGCGGCAGAGACGGAGCAGGCCGACCACCAGCTGGCCCAGCTCAAGGGAGGTAAGGCACCTGCCGGAAAAGGGTGAAAAAATGGCGGACAAAAAAAATGGCGGACAACCTTGCTTGGCGACCCCCATGAAATGGTCGATCGATCCCAAATGAGGTCCCGACCCACAGGTTGAGAACCACTGGTTTAATCCATGATTGAAAAACAAGGTTTAATGAAAATGTTCAATTAATGGTGTACTTCGTTTTCCACCTGCACCTTTACTTTCAGATCACAATCACAGCAAACATAACATGTGGGGCAGGATGCAAAACTGCATGGTTGTGTGCTGTAGAATGGCTAAAACAAGCTGCAATGTTAAGTCACAAGAAAAGGACCCATCGTCACACATTAATATGTCTCAAGTCCAGCTATATCTGAGTTTGCTCTGGAATAAAGGATGGAAATGTTTCTAACCTCCAAGGTATAGTTCTATGTAAGTGAATTCCAGATAAGCCTACGACAATCAGACATTATTGCAAGTCAGCAGAAATACATACCTCTCCATAGTGTGATGGTATTGTTAGAGGAGGTTGCCAAAAGGACTTAATTATATCTGGATACTTCCGAATAATCATTAACAGAAAAAATACTAAAGCTAGTATTAAAAGCATAGATACAAATATCAATATGCAATAGAAAATTCTTGTTCCCTCTGAAAGAGAAAGGGACATTGACATAAACACATTGAAAGACACATTTACTGCAAAATGGCAGAAACATACATGAAATAATTTATCAGCTATCTTGGATTACAATACAGTTCAGAAAAATTGTACTGTTACTATCTGTCTACTAATGAAGTTTCTATGCAGGAAGTGAAGTATTAATATAGCTGGACAAAAATATATAGGACATAGGGGCAGAAAAAGCTATTAGGACAAAGTTGAATGTGGGTTCCTGAACATTTTTGAGATATATGTACTGTTGACAAGAAATTGGTTGGTGATTAGATAATTAAATGGGAAGAAAGCCATATATTATTGCACACAAGTCTCATCTTATATTTTAGACATAGGAGAAGTAATTCCTTCTCAAACAGTGAAACGTGCCTCATTACTTTTCCTTTTTTTAATTAGGTTTAGAAACAATCCCAGTGAAATCATCTGCAAATGCGAACATAGAGGAATACTGTCAAATTCAGTACACTTTTTAAAAATCATAGTTTTTCATCTTAATCCTATGTATTACAGACTCTTTTATGGGAAAGACTTGAACTTGACTTCTATAGAATTGAAGAACAAAAATGTAAACCTCAAGAAACTGAAGGAAAGAAGGGATAGGACTAAAGGACAAAACAGGGTACAGTACTATATGGGCAATTGAGATACCAAGATCAGTTTTCTGTTTGAATTTAAGTGTACTTCATGCATTGTTCATTACTGCTATAATCTCAAGTATAATCTTCAGTTAATTTATATTAAGATTTATATAATATTTCAGTTTAAAAAAAGCCTTTGGCTTAAACTCTTTATTACAGAACAACTTTCAAGCACTATTTAAATCTCAGTAATCAAGCCACAAATGCCAAAACAGTAAAATCATAACCATAATTGCATACTCCTATTGATACAAGAAAGATCAGGTGCTTATAATAATAACAATAATGATAAAGTTGGAAGGGACCTTGGAGGTCATCTAGTCCAACCCCCTGCTCAGGCAGGAAACCCTATACCATTTTGGACAAATGGCTGTCCAGTTTCTTCTTAAAAACTTCCAGTGTTGGCGCATTCACCGCTTCTGGAGGTAGGTTGTTCCACTGGTTAATTGTTCTAACTGTCAGGAAGTTTCTCCTTAGTTCTAGGTTGCTTCTCTCTTTGGTTAGCTTCCACCCGTTGCTCCTTGTCCTGCCTTCAGGCGCTTTGGAAAATAGCTTGACTCCCTCTTCTTTGCTTCCTCTTCAGGAGTGACACAATATTCACCTATCTTGCAGACAAGCCAGGCCTTGATCACTTTATGGAACAGCAGCAATAAGGACTATCCTTACCTTTACAGAGATGCTATTCCATAGGAGTAGGGCTGACATAGAGAAGGATCTCTGATAATATTATTATTTAAAGGCTGAGATCCACAGGATCTTCACCAAAGAAGCAGAGAAAAAGTGATGAGATATGCCACATGTGTGCTCAATAAGGAAGATTGGATATTTGAGGCTAATCTTCACTTCTGCTCCTGATCTTGTCTTAGGGCCAGGTTACGTTACTCCTACCAACAGTAATCCTGGCCAGTTTTTGAATGGCAGGCCAAGTATAATAAATCTCTTATCTATTACCATATTAGACTAGCTTGTATTTCCAAGACCTGGTTGGTGAGGAGAATTTGGCATCAGTTCATGTTTCCACGGTAGGGTAGATAATTTAAACATAAAAAATAACCAGTGGGTACAATCTATTCCTTTAATTCTGCATCTATATAATTATACATCAGTTAAATAATAATACATACCAGTGATTGTAGTTTTTGTACAATAAATACCACTTTTTTCTCCTTTGAGGTCTTTCAGGCTTGCTTGTATCCTAAAGCAATATGTAGTACTTTCCTTTAGATCCTTAAGTCTGTGTACAGTATTCATGGTTAGCTGTATAATAACAAAGAGCAGTTAAAACATTATTATATAATTTCTTTATCCAAATTACAGCCCTTCTTTATTAATTTCAGAAGTACAGCTGTTCTAGTTCATGGTAGGTTTATTGTAAGTATTTATCTGCAATACTTTGGTTTCCATCTGGGGACAGGCAATTCCTAAGCCCACCTGCATCCCCCAGAATCCCATTCTTGGCCTTTAGGTAGCTCTCAGTAGATTCAGCCAACATTTTTGTTATGGGGTAGAACTGCAATTATATCCAATATTTTTAGCTGGGACGGGGAAGGGGTGAATTTAAGGAGCACTGACCTTGTTTTGCAAGATTTAGGTACTCCTTTGCCCATTTAAAAGACAGGTCTGAAAAGTTTGGCTTTAATCTTCCCATTAAAGCTACAATGCCCCTTGCAGCCCTCAGGCAGAACAGAAAGATATTATGGGGCCCCCACACTGAAAAGATTACCTACCCCCAAACCAATGATTTTTGTAGCACTATCTCCAAGATCTCTTGTGACTGCCGAAAGCTTATGTTCCAGAATATCTAAAATAACTACTATTAGTTCTGAGCAATTAGGATTTAGGAAGCTCAGTGTCACTGTTTAGTGTACAGTTGATCATAAATCATAGCCTAAGGATTTATGTTTGTTGTCTCCAAAATCAAAGGTGCTCAAAGCTCTGCCTATCCCATCTATGCCATTTGTAACATATCCTCTATTTTCTCTACTTCCCATGACACATTTGCTATGGTTTTCTATATAATGTCATAGCAGATAGTAGTAACAACTTGTCAACCATATCTGATCTCAGAAAAATAAGAAGGGTTGGATCTGGTTAATAGTCAGGAGACTGCCAAGGGACTCCAGATAAATAAATTAAAAAAAAGATCTAAAATAGTGCCAGGGACAAACTTTATACATTTTTGAAGCAACGTGGATGTACTGAATTTGTCGTAGATTTTCCTCTGTACAAACCTCTAAGACGGGGGTGTCAAACTGCCGGCCCGTGGGCCGGTTGCATCACGCGGAGGCCACGCGCACCCCAGCTCCAGCAATGCGAAAAAAGTCGCGATACATCGCAACACATCACATGACGCGGCGAGTTTGACACCCGTGCTCTAAGATGTTTGTGGACCTCTATCAAGGAATGAAAGTTGATCTCTAAATAATTTCAAGTTAAAAAAATATCTTGTTATACAACATAGTGTGATTATCCCATCTAGATAAGAAGAAATTCTGTAGATAGTTGGAAAAGCTTCAGTACGTCGTTTGCAGATTACAAAGGATGTGAGACCAATAATATGCAGAATCAAGTGGTAGGTCATGTACTGTATAGGTAAGCAGCCATAGAAATTAAATAAATAAGTAAAACCTCCCAGCCTCTGCCTCCTACTAATTCTTATAATCATCTTTATTAAATGTATTTATTTATCTAAAACATTTATATAGCCACCCATCTTTCAACCAATGTTAGTGGGCAATCAAAAATTAAAAGACATATAAAATCAATTTAGAACTATAAAAGCTAACCAGTTAAACATTAAAATATTAAAAATAACAAATGTGTACACTGCTCAAATTTCAGTGACTCTGAGACTCTTCTTTTTTGTTTTTCTCCTAATGGTCAATCACTCCTATATTCAGTGTATTTAATTGTACTGTTTTAGAAAAGGATTGGTTCTACTAAAAAATTAACCCAATTGTGAAGCTAGATTTATTTTCCATAGACCAGCTAATCTCATTTTCTATTATTATTATTTAAAAAATAGTTCAAACAAATCCCATTAGAATAATTTTAGTATTTTTTAATGTATTTAAAATACATCTTTTTAATCTATGTAATCAAAGGTTGTGGGGGGTAGTCATGAGCAGGCCTTTCTACCTTAATACCTGTAAGGCAGTGGTGGCGAACCTATGGCATGTGTGCCAGAGGCGGCACTCAGAGCCCTCTCTGTGGGCACGTGTGCCATACCCCAGAGATGGCAACCATCCCTCTTCAACCAACCACCCGCTAACTCGCTGAGGTCCCACATGGCTGGATGCATCCCAGCATAGCTAGTTTCCCTCCCCCCGTCCCCTCCCTCCTGGCCTCGCATGCTCTCCTTTTCCTGGGCACAACCCACTGCATCACCTCCTCAGCTGTCAGCTGGCCGTCCAGATCAGAGGCGGCTTCTCTGAACTGCTGGTGGTGGGCTGCAGAGCCCCAGAGTGTGCCGGTCGAGGGGCTGGCAGGCTGTGGCTGCTGACGGACACTGTTGCCCTCCCATGTGCTCGCTGGCCTCTGTGTGCAGGGGCCAATAGTGTCAGGAAGCAGCCGCCCTGGCCCCTACCTCGCCTTGCCCTGCGACAATGACACCCCTGCCCTGCCTCGCCTTGTCTCACCCCACCCCACAGGATGAGCCTCCTGCCCACCGCCCCATCTGCCAGAGACCCCCTGGATCTCCCCCAACCCTGCCCAGCCCTCACAGGCGTCCCTCCCCACGAGCAATATCAAGGTGACCACGCCTACCTTGGCCACACCCACCCAGTCTGCCATGACCATCACAGCCATGCCCACCCAGTGGGCCACGCCCACCTGGCACCTGGAGATAAATAAGTGGGTTTGGAGTTGCAGTTTGGGCACTCAGTCTCTAAAAGGTTCGCCATCACTGCTGTAAGGCATCCCCTATTATCTATTTATTTATAGTTCGTATTTCTAGACCGCCCATCTCCCTCAAAGAGGGACTCTGGGCAGTGTACAGCACAAAATTGGCATATAAAACAATATATAAAATTAAACTGTTAAAATTAATTTAGTTAAAAATGTTAAAGTTAAATTATAAAATTCCCAAAAAAGAAAATTTCCAAGAAGGCAATTTAACTCTATTTAAATTGGTTGATGGAGGCAGAGAGTGAGTTCTCATAACACTACACAAACCTTTGCCCTCCCCCCCCAAGGCTACCGAGTCACGTTTTGACCCTTTTCGAAAGGCCAGGAGAATGGAGGCCTGCTCATCTCCGGGGAAAGTATATTCCATAGTATGGGGGCAACAGCAAAGGCGGCTCTCTTCCTAGATTCTGCCAGTCATAATTCTTTGACTAATGGGGTCTGTAACACACCTTCCCTGCCTGATTATATCTTTTAGGTCAGGAGTCCCCAACCCCTGGTCTATGGACCACTACTGGTCCACGGCATTCCAGCAACTGGTCCATGCAAACAAGCAAAGCCTCGTGCAGGCAGCACGCAAAACCACGCCTCCTCCATGGAAATCCATTCTCCACGGAACTGGTGCCTGCTGCCCAAAAGATTTTTTTAGGGGACTACTGATTATTTTCTTCACTCATGTTTGATGATTTCTCCATTTTTTAATGACAATGTTTTATATTATCTAATGCAGTGGCTCTAACCTTTTTGGCACCAGGGACCAGTTTCGTGGAAGACAATTTTTCCAGAGACTGGGGGAGGATGATTTTGGTTTTGCTCATTCACCCACCAGTCACCTGCAGTTGTGCAGGCTGGTTCCTAACAGTCCATAGCCTGGGGTTTGGGGACCCCTAATCTAATGTATTTGTTTTTATTACTCAACCTTAATATTGTTATTATAAATTGTTTTGACCAGCAACAGTATGGGTAAGGATATAAACATAAATAAGAGATTAACAGATTTATTCAAATGTTTCCTAATAATTCTTATATCAGTTTGTCAAGGAAAGACAAGTACTTACTGATACATCTTTTGAATTCTCCCAATAGATTGTATAGTCAAATGAAGAGAAATTACTTCTTTTCTCAAAAGGAGGCAAGAAACTGATAAGAATTGAATTAGCTGCTGAAGTTACATTTATTACTCTTGGAGGTCCTATAATGGCTAAAATGAATAAACAAACACCATTATTTTAATCAAGCATCAAGTCACCATTATTTTAATCAAACATGCATAAGAAATGTGTGCATGAATTATGTTAGTTCATTTTAATGCTTGAGAGTATTTGCGTTCAAAAAGAAATGCTTACTTGCAGCATTTTCTGCCACTACTATTTGAGTAAACAGAATAAACCCAGCCGTTCATCTAGGAGCTGAAGGCAACATAAATGGGAGGCCCCTGTGAACTGGGAATAACATTTTCTGCTGGGTCATATCTTGTATGAAAGAATTTGGTACTTTCTAATAGTACTGGATCCAGATTTTATCTTTGACCATAAAAGTTTGCTGGGTGACTCGGAATAAATTATCCTAAAAAGTTAGTATTGTGAAAGTGAAAAGTGGAGAAGTATATCCCACAAAGGACTCCCTGAGTTTCTGAAGGAAAAAGGATATAAATCTCACAAATGAATCGCATGAATTTTTTTTCTTGGGCTGAAAAAGGCGCATCAGTGTATCTGTCTGTACCAGCATGGGTAAGAGATATAGAATATAGATAATTGTGACTAACATGCCTCTATGAAATGAAATGTACAATTCTGCTTATAGCATACTTTTATGAATAGCTATGAATTGTTACGATAAATAAGTCTCATTTCTTTTTTTAAAAAAACGCATTGACAAGCTTTTATGAAAGAGTCAATTTCATAAAATGCCTCTGGATCTTAGTTTATAAAATCTGATGCCATTATAAATTATCCCGTCTCTGAGATAATTCAAGACTTGTTTTTATAGTATAGGGCCTATCTTTTGTTCTATGGCCTACAGTTTTCGCTTTCACATATGAAATGATTAAAAAAACCATATTTAGTCAGAGGCTTAAATCATCAATAAATAACAAGTAACAAATGAAACATACTATCTTCCAGAGCAACAAAGGGACGTCGTGTTTCAGTCCATTCAGATTTTAAGTTGCTTTCTTCAGCTCTAACACGCAAAGTAATTCCATAAAAATCCTTGATAGACTCAAATTCACATTCAGGTTTCATGATATCTGTACAATTCACTTTTTCCCATGTTCGGTCTGAATTTCTGCTATAATACAAAGACAGTAGAATTCCTTAGTGGTGTAATTTGAATGACAACATGTGATAAAGAATAGAAATTTATATTTTATATTTGACAACTGTTTACTTACAAGCAACGCTGAACACTGTAAAACACTGGACCATTGATTCCCTTAACTGGAGACCACCTCAATACATTCTGAAAATTATATGACTCAATTGTCAAATTCTGTGGTGCTGGTAAGGAGAGAGAAAACCCTAAAAAGGCAAAGAAACAAGAAATGCTAAAAGGAATAAAAACATAACGTGCACAATTCACCATACTCCAAAACACTCCAATGGTGAGGTGAATTAGCCATTACTGATGCAGATATAATATACTGGAGGGTAATAACTAAGGTTATTGTCAGTGTGCCAATAGCCTAGGAACACTTATTGCAACATTTTTATGCCTTCCTATTTCTGGTGATTCAAAGCAATTTACATAAAAGTTCTTAAAATTCCTAACAATTACAAATGCAAACCTATATGAAACCTATCAGGGAAATTTCCACTTTTTTGCAAAAACACAAGCAAGGTGGAGACTCTCCTTACTTCAAAGTTAAAGTATCCACAACTCCCTTAACCTCTCATGAAGTGGAAACCCAGAGCAGCCCCTCTCAAGGTGCATGCACGGGGGAGGGACAGGAGGAAGCTACCTTGGGTGCCAAGGTTAAAATAAGTGCATTTAATTGAGTCCTAGTTAGTGTTAGAACTGTCACAATAGGGTAACTTCAGACACATTTTCCAACTTGAATTCTGGAGATACGTAGACTGAAGTGAGGGCATTGGGAGGTATGAGTAGAAGGATAGATCTAAGAGAAGGATGGAATCCACATCCAAGGAAATTCTCTGCCAGAATGGCAGGATTAGAAATAAATAGTTGTTGCCATGAAAAGTTAGCAGCCTAGAGATACTTTGTAAAATATAAACTTACTAAAAATATCTTGCTGTGAGAACTAAGATAATACATATTTTAAAGCAGGGTGTCTCAAACTCATGGTTGAAAAGAAAAAGTATTCAGAAACAATGAAAAAGAGGTAAAGCTCCAGTGACAGTAAATTGGCAGCATCCAAGTTAAGTTTCTCCTCTCTTACACAGAACTTCACCAAGTTCTCATGAAATTTTGGGTTCTGAGGAACACAGATTGAAAAATATGAAAAATCTTTATTTAGATGGATTGTACATGTCTGATAATGCTCATGATGATTTTTTACTGCTTGCATGATTTTTAAATGCTTTTTCAGTAGACTTTTGTGCATTTATTTTGTTTTTCATTTTGGGAGATTTGGCCTGACAGCACAGAGCCGATGGAGGGAAGCTCTTCCCCAAATATTAATGCAGATTATTTTGGCAACTACATTGAATAAAACATATTGCATCCACCCAAGTAATTATAATTCATAGAGGTATGATACACGTTATAACAAGGTCTATATCTAACAGCTCATTTTTTACCTACTAACTGTAATCCATTCATCAGCTTTTGTAGTCTTACTGAAATCACTCATTTATTTTGAAAGCGCCTTCTCTTTTTTATATATAACTGTTTAAAAGGCACCAAGCAAATATCTGTTTTGCTACCATTCACAAGAATCCTACAGGTCAAGTTAGTTCTCATCCCATTGCCCCATGCATGTCTGTTTAAAAACAATATTCATAACTGATGATGCAGCTCTACATCAGTACCCATTTAAAAAAAAAATAAGCAGATTCAGAACTGTATAGAACAGTATCTCCTTATCAAACTTATC